ATGGGGTTTCACCATGTTGGCCAGGCTGGTCTTGAACTCCTGACCTCAGGTGATCCGCCCGCCTTGGCCTCCCAAAGTGCTAGGATTACAGGTGTGAATCACTGTGCCCAGCTGGAAGCTGCTATTATTAATAGTTACCATTGTCACAGTCATCCAATAAAGTAAGTATGATTATCACCATTTTATAGATGAGAAAACCAAGGTAACAAGATGGGGAGTGGCATGTCCAGGCCCACGCAACTGGGAGCCATGCGACTAGAAGCATTTCTTCTCCATCATGCATTTCTGTTTTTCCAACTGGGCACGCAAGCCCGTTCATTCATCCCTTCAGTAAACACACATGCCTACTGTGTGCCTGGCCTGTGTGAGTGCTGCAGGTACAGACTGGGCCCTGCCCTCATGGAAGGTACAGTTTCCTGAGGAAGAGCGATCTTCACTGAATACTCACACAGATGCATCTAAAAATCATAACACGTGCTCTGTGGCATGAAGGGAAAAGCAGGGTTCTGTGAGACGTGACTTGGCCGGGGGTGACCCAGATGGGGAAGCTTCTGGCGAGTCTGGTTAACCCTTTGCTGTCCTGGACATCTAGCTATTACTCCTCCAGATCAGCTTAGGGCTGGATGACTCCTGAGAGGGTGACTGGGTACCCCCCTTGGTACTGCCCCCTCCCAGTGTTGGCTTTCCAAGTCTCCCCTAGATCCCCCCAGCCAGTCTCTTTGAAGACTGTCCCTTTACAACTGCCCTTTCCACCGAAGGATTCAGACACAAATTGTACTTTAAATTCAATATCGGTCATTAATATTTCATGATTACAAAACGTTAAAGATAATGTCAGTGGAAGGAGCGTCTGCATGGGCAGAATGGATGACTCAGAAGTTCGGGGAGAGGGGAGCCGGCATACTAAGTGGCTCGGGAGTCTTTGAGGTAATCCGGTATGACAGGCGGCGGCTCCCGGCTGAGTGCAACATTCTCCGAGGTGCTCACCAAGCGCCGCCGCTGTGTATAAATATTTCCCCTCTGATTCTTGTCACCTCATGTTTGTTATGACTGGGAGCAGGTGGGGCCGCCGTGACCCTCTGAGTTTCTCTTCTGTTTTTGAGGAAGCCAAATGGACGCTTTGGCAGGAGGGCATGGGGCTGGGTGGGCAGACCCGATGGCCATGAACCTGGGGCTCTGGCTGGCTCCTGGGAGGCGGGAGGTCTTGGGTTGAGCCTGCCCCTGCCTGGACTTGCTCATGATCTTGGGGCCATCCCTGTTCTTCCCTGAGCCTCTGTTTCTTCATCTGTAAAATGGGGGTAATAAGTTTGTTCTCATCTCATGGAGATGGTGAAAAGGAAGAGTGGGTCAGTTATTTGTGATAGCTTATTTTTTTTTTTTTTTTTTTTGAGACAGAGTCTTGCTCTGTTGCCCAGGCTGGAGCGCAGGGGCATGATCTCAGCTCACTGCAACCTCTGCCTTTGGGTTCAAGTGATTCTAGTGCCTCAGCCTCCCCAGTAGCTGGGATTATAGGCGCGCGCCACCATGCCCAGTTAATTTTTGTATTTTTAGTAGACATGGGGTTTCGCCATGCTGACCAGGCTGGTCTC